ACGCTTTCCTTTCTCATTAGAGTAACTCCTCACTTAACCTCATCCCGGTTAACATTTAGTTTCATTATTACATTGCTGATCAATTAGAGAACTTGCTCGTTTAAAGTTGCACAATCCTCCCTTATAACGTTGTTTGGCAGCCACCTTCTTTCTCCACAGCTTGCAGGAAGAGCAGCCAGTTGGAGCTAGTGGTGGGGGCTTGGAACCAGGCTGGACCGGCAGCCCCCCCCCCCCTCAGCTCCCCTAAGTTCCCTCTGCGCAGCCGCTTAGCAGGCTCTCAATTGCTCTGCAATTCAGCTGCCCCTCCCCCCACTGCGTGTGCTGCTCCTGCTCTCTGCCTTGGAGCTGCTCCCGGGAGCCTCCTGCTTGCTGTGCCGAGTGGGGGAGGGGAGGGGGGTGCTAATGTCAGGGTGTCCCCCTACCCCCACTCCTGTACCTTATCTCCACAGAGTCGGGGACAAACAGGGCTCAGGAGGGAGGGAGCTTCCTGGCAGCAGCCGCTGTCTCAACTTGCTGATCTACTTAAAAAAGGCAATGTACTTAGAGTGGGGTCAACATATTTAAAGGAGCGATGCCCGTCTCTCTCTTTCTGACACACACATGGTGTGTGACTCTGTCTCTCCCTCTCTTTCACACACACACATACACAAGGTCCAGCCTTAGGCATACGCAGCATACGCAGCTGCGTAGGCCACCCGAAAATTTGGGGCACCCCTGGGTCTTAGTGTCCACACTCCCACTTCTTCCTATCCCTGTTCTGGCCCTTCCTGCAGGCTCCCACAGTTAGCTGCTGTAGCCTGGTGAGTCTTCCCCCAGAGGGAATCTAGTAACTTAAAAGTGAAAAAGCCTTCCAGCCTGCCAGACCTATTAGCACAGGGGTGGGCAAACTATGGCCCAGGGGCCGCATCTGGCTCTTCAGATGTTTTAATCTGACCCTTGAGGTTCCTCCAGGGAGTGTGGTCCGAGGATTGCCTTGCTCTGGCACTCCAGCCGGGAGCTTGCCCTGCTCCACGCGTGTTGTGGCTCTGCGCAGCTCCAGGAAGCAGCGGCATGTCCCCACTCCGGGTCCTACGAGTAAGGGCAGCCAGGGGACTCTGCACGCTACCCCAACCCCGAGCGCCGCCCCCGCAGCTCTCACTGGAACCACAGCCAATGGGAGCTGCAGGGGTGGTGCCTGCTGATGGGGCAGCATGCCAAGCTGCCTGGCTGCACCTCTGCACAGGAACCAGAGGGGGGACATGCCACTGCTTCCGGGAGCTGCTTGAGGTAAGCGCTACCTGGAGCCTGCACCCCTGACCCCCTCCTGACCCCCAACTCCCTGCCCCAGCCCTGATCCCCCTCCCGCCCTCCAAACTCCTTGGTCCCAGCCCGGAGCACCCTCCTGCACTCCCAACCCCTCATTCCCAGCCCCACCCCAGAGCCTGTACCCCCACCTGGAGCCCTCACCCCCCTGCACTCCAACCCCCGCCCCAGCCCAGAGCTCCCTCCCTCACCCTGAACTCCTCCTTTCTGGCCCCACCCCAGAGCCCGCACTTCCTCCCGCACCCCAACTCCCAATTGCATGAACATTCATGACCCACCATACAATTTCCATACCCAGATGTGGCCCTAGGGCCAAAAAGTTTGCCGACCCCTGTATTAGCACAACATTGAAACTGTTAAATCGCCATTTAAGTTAAAGAGATGTTCAAGTAATGAAGCCATTTAACAGGCATTTGCCAACCCCTAGGTATATACTGTCAGTTTCTGAATTTACTGACAAAAACAGTTGTGCATTACTGTAATATTTACTCAGGACATGTTAGTCTACAGGACCTTAGTTTAAAATTTGCTTTAAAAATATTTCATTAGAAGATTGCTGAAGATTATAAAATCATATCTCTAAAAAATCCTTGCATAGATTTTTAGATACACAATTTGAGTATTCATCTTTAGCCTTAAATGCTTGGATCTTCAGACATATCGTTTTTTAAATAAATCCTTCAAAAGACCACCCTTATCTAAAATACACATTTTAATTTTAATTACTATAGTACAAAAAACATGCTTCTAAAGTCTTCCTGTCCTTTCTGTCCATCCCTTTCTCTCTTCACCCCTCTGTTGAAGAGAGCCCTTAAAGGGACAACACCCCTTTCCTTCCAGATATCTGGAATGGAATGAGTTTTCCTTTCTTTACTTCTGACTATTTGATGAAGTAGTTTTAAGAGAACCCTCTAGCAAAATCAGTACCTTAGTAAGATATAAAATCCTTTGTTATGCCTAAAATCTTTGGAAACATATTTTTTAAAGTTGGTGAAACTTCATAAACATGTCTATTTATTGTTATGGTGATCACACAAAGTAAATTAGTGTTCCCTTTTTCTAAATGAAATGAATATTGTTATGAACACACTAAACCTCTGTGACTGATTAATTTAAAATAATGTCTTTGTTTCAGTGAGTTAAATATGTAGTACGCTGGAATGATTACTTTATGAAGGCTTAAGAGTACATTTAAAATATAAAATCAGCTTAGAAATACTGATTAAGAAAATGTAAAACAGGGAAGAGCTGCATCATGCATTCCATAATATTTAATATTGTATTCAGCAGGGGATGGTAATCATATGTAACTCCTTGCTTAATGTTGTAGTTATGTTCTTGAAAAATGCGACTTTAAGCAAAACAAAATGTTAAGCAAATCTAATTTTCCCATAAAAATTAATGTAAATTGGGGAGGGTTAGGTTCCAGAAAAAAAATTTTCCCAGGCAAAAGACATTATATACATGTACAGTATAAGTTGTAAACAATTTCAAACAAAAAATATAATACTGTACTCAGCAATGATGATTGTTAAGCTTGGTTGAGGTGGTGGAGTCAGAGGTGGAAGAGGGTAGCTCGTCCAGCTGCTCCTCTTGCTGTTCTTCCTTAACCGTCACAACTCGAAAAAACGTATCTAGAGATGGTTGTTTTGCTTTCCTTTTTTTTTCTTGGTAAATTTCTTTATAGCACGTCATTAGATGACCAACTCCCCTAATCACTTTGGAGCTGCGTTCCCTGTCAGGATCGTCATCACTAAGGATCTGCAAGCCAGCTTCAATCATTTGGAAAGCTTCAGAAAGACGTTTGGCAGTCAAATTTCGATGGGTTGGTTCTTCTTTTACTTCTTGGTCCTCGTCTTCCATTGCTCTCATCATGTCTAGTTGCATCAGATCTTCATTGGTTAGCTCTTCTCCATGTGACTGCAGAAGTTGTGTAACGTCGGCTTCTTCCACCTCATCAAAACCCGCTTTCTTGGCCAAGCTGAAAATATCTTTCTTCATAGCAGGAACAACATCTTTAAATCCTTTTACGTCATTGACACATTCAGGCCACAACTTCCACCACACACCATTCATGCATGCCTGAGTAACTTCAGCCCAGGACTCACCGATGTTATTGATGCACTTGAGGATGTTGTAGTCACGCCAAAATTGCCGAATCGTAGGCTTGCCTTCTCCATCAGTGCCTCTGATGAGCTGGTCGAAAATACGGCGTAAGTAATATGCCTTAAATGCAGCGATGGCTCCTTGGTCCATGGGTTGGATGAGTGATGTGGTGTTAGGTGGCAGAAAGACAACTTTGACGTTTTCGCACAGGTCGTCCAGATTGATTGGATGAGCTGGTGCATTATCAATAAGTAATAAAATCTTGAAATCAAGATTTTC